TTCTAAAATACCTTTGTTTGCCCCCTCATCGCACCAAGATTCCATTTCGAAGCCCTATAATTAATCGAACCACTACCCTTCTAGATCCGCCCGATCTGGGCCTTATTGGGCCAATCCAACCCTACCTAGCAAGTTTGAACCAGAAATACCCCAATTTAGCCCCCCCACCCCACCCCATCTAAAAAGATTCAATTTCGATTAATCACATTAACTCATACACTCCTTGTACCCAAACCCATCTCAACACTTTGATCATCGACCAAAACCCCCGATCATTGATCCAAATCCCGGTTTGACCCCCTTGGACTAGTTTTGACCCGAATTCATAAAATTACAAAAACTACACATGCCACCGCCCCCTTAGGGCCCCAAATTGCTAAAGTGGCGAGTCGTGTCTTTGTTAACCCCAGCATAATCCTAATCTACATTCTCAGTGAAATAGAGCCCAGAAACTCGTTCTTCCCCCAACAAATTCTACGTGACCATTCACATTTTCATCTGAAGAAGAGCATCTGGAAGCTGAGACAACTCCCGATCTCTCCTATTATGCCGAATGAATTGAGGTCAAACATCCTCAGTGGCCGGAGCCTCTATTTTTGGAACATTTTGCCATTTCAATGAAGCAAGTTATTGCAGTCACCGGGGATTCATCAGTAGGACCGAAAAGCTCACAAGTGGAAGCTTGTTCTGCCTCTTTTGAATCGCCTGACCACGCTCTAACATAACTCTTTCTATCCGAAGACAAGCAATTCGAAAATCAGAAAAAGAAAAGCGTCTGAATCCTTCCTCTGCTGCATCGATTATGCTCAGGACAAAATCCCAACTCAGGTTCCTATAGTTTACTGCTTAACTGTTTCTTCGTTCAGTTCCACCGCATAGAGAGTGTTTAGAACCAACCAGAAATTTTCCGTATTTGGTATTAGATGTTTGACCTGTCCATGCATGGTGTTTACCTTGATTATCTGTCCATTTAGTGCTTATCATATATACTATTTTATGGAACTGCATATGATTTTATCGTTATTCTGTTGTTAACTGCCTACATGATTTAATGTGTATGTTTTTATTTCTATTTTGACTCGTTCGATTGAAATGGTTGGAATTGTGAGAATCCTCTGTACCTCATTTTAATCAAGGTCTAAGAGGGCTGCAGGTGTGAGATTCCAAGCCACAAGTGTTCATCACAGGAGTACCCTAAAATTAATAAAAAATACATAAAAGAAAATAGAAGAGGGGAAAAGAGTAATTATCGGGAGAATGCAGAAGAACTGAGCTAATCTCTTCAGACTTCAGGTGACAGGGTCGGGAGGTTGGTTTAACGGATAGGATGTTGGCAGAATATAGAGTAGGACATGGGTGATAAGGGCAGCAAAAAATGGAATAATGACAGAATAAGAGAAGAAAAGAAAAGTAGTAAAAATAAATAGTAGTAGAATTTCAGCATAGAATATGATAAATAAATGGTAGAATCCAATGGATAATAAAGGAATAAATATAGAAATAGGGTCCCACAAGAAATAACAAAATATAAAATTGATAAAATAAAAAAAGAGAAGAAATAAAGATATAATAATAAAAACGAATAAATAAAAAAATAAAAAATCATAATTTTTTGATAAATAATAATAATAATAATAATAATAAAATGGGTAGAATTTACTTTTTGTGTGGGCTTGTTCTTGTGGTTTGTTTTCTTTATTATTATGTTATCTGATTAATTGTGTATTTGCGATTATGCTTGTTTGGGATCACCATGTGGGCTCCACCTATTGGACCTGGGAGAGGGGTGCTTAACCCTTTTCCTCTCCCATCCGAGTCTTACCTAGACTAGTGGTGCATCGGGTTATTAGAGTCACTATTAAATAAAAATACTTTCTAATGTAAATCTCGGAAGTCCCATCGCCTCCCTTTGATTTACTTGATGGGTGGCAACTCCAATTCAGCCCAAGTGAGCCATTTTTCAATGCTCATAGACTGGCTACAACGGTTTTATTTCTTGATCAGTTTTTAAAACCTTTCTAAGAACTAAAGACCCTAACCATTGATTACGGAAATGAAAGGAATGAAATTGGGTGAAGATGAAACCACATAAATCATTAACCAAAACAATCAATAATGTATGAAATAATCCAAGACCCATGAAATAATTAAAAAACTCATCAACTAAAGAACCAGAATTGCATGGACCCGGATATAATTGATAACAAAACTAGAAGAACAAATTGAAGAGCTTATATCTAAACAAAATCAAAGGTTTTGATGAACAGAAAATGGTTAGAGTAGGACACTCCATGTGAAAAAAACAAATCAAAAGTATTGCATAGAAATTTGCAGGGTGTTAGAGTAGGACACTCCATGCACTCAAAAAGTGCAGAACAACCATTGGGATGCCAAGTTTCACATAACTCAGGTTAGGAACCTTGCAAGATCCCTATTTAGATATTGTATGATCATCTACGTTGCTAGCAAAAGCAGGGCTATGCAGAAAAGAAAATTATGCCATTCATGTTGAATGATTTTTTACCTTGCTTATAGAGTGGCCTATTAGTTGAATAGAGGTGTAGAGGCACTCGTATGGGATGGCCTAAGAGGAGGAGGAATAGGAGGTTTCCCTGGAATACCTCTTTGGTGACTAAAATAAAAAGAAGGCAGACTTGAAACATGCTTATCAACTGAAACATAAGTTGAATCTAGAGTTACTAAGTTGAAAGAAAGCTCCAAAGTTGCTTTATACTTTGATGGTATTTCCTCGAGTGCTCCAAAGTTCTTTTATACCATAGGGGATTTTTTTTGACATGATCTCTATAAAATTCACAAACTGTAGAAAACAAGCACAATCATAAATTGTTGAAACAACCTCAAGCAAAAAAGTCATGAATGAGTCTTAACCATTTAAACTGATAACCTGAAAATTGTCAAATGTTCGAGAAGGCATATGGTCATCAAACTGTTGCATCTTGTCCTAGGGTCCATCATCAAGACCAACCAAAATAATTGACAATGGATATTCACTATGAACAAAAGTGAAAATGTATCAAAACACCGTACATAATAAACTAATAACGTATGGCTATACTAATTTTGTTTTTAAATTACCTTGCTTTTAGTATTGCATTAACTGTATCCCGCTCTTGTTGACTTAATTAGCCTTGTTCTGTATTGTTGTTTCACATTACCTTGAATCACAATGTTAATGTCAAGAATTTATTAATAATTAGATGCTAGTAAGATTTCCAAGTATTCACTATTTTTTTCTTCAACTACAATGATACAAGAGAATTGCATACCTCTACTTGGTAAGGAGCTAACATGCCATCATTCTTAGAAACATCTTCCTTTAACAGCATGGTCCAAGACATTGGAAAGTGTTAGAATATATCTACCTCAACCTGTTTTCTCACATGGCCAACTCAATGTTTCTTTTGAAAGCATGGTCCAACATTGGAAAATGTTGCTTTACACTTTGTGAGTGCATGGAATGTCCTAATATAACACCCAACAAATTTCTATGCAATACATTGATTTGTTTTTCACATGTTTGTCTTAACATAAATCAACATCTAAGATTTTCTTTGAGAGAAGATAACCAAAAATTGATAAATCAACATCTAAGACACAATCAATAAGATGAATAATAGTTTAAAAGATAAGGGGGAATTTAAGATGCATTAAACTCAAGGTGGTGTTCAATATGCCAATGAGTAAAGTATTTATATCATATAACAAAAAGCTAGAAAACAACTTAATGGTATAAGAGTTATTACCAATTTGCTTTGTTGTTCAAGCAACTATTGAAGATGGGTGAACTTATACACCTTTGTAGGTATAAGCACAATATATTTTATATCCTTAATCTTGCTACTTCTATTGATGGTCATTTGATAATTGGTACTGAACTTACTCAAATGCGTAACATGTGTAGGGATCTTTCTGATGACACAATTTGAAATGGAAAATTAGACTCAAAGAAATTGATGTCATCGTTAAAGATTGTTGCCTACATTTGATTTCCTTGAAAAGTTAAAAAAAAATCATATTAGATAAATATTAACAAAATTAAAGAAAAACCTAGTCTCGACATGGTGTGATTTCTATGAATTTAATCTTTACTCTCCAATTGATTGATTTGCCGGTCAGTTCTAAGAGGAGCACATATTTCTTCCATTCTAGAGGACTTATGATTTAGTAAGAGATTCTGAATTCAAATAAAATAGGTTTCTTCAAAGTTAAATTTTATTTTTTTATATTGGTTTACCTGCTAAGTGGAACTTAAATGCTCTTTCGGTAGATAACTTAGAATGATAAAACAAAATCTGCACAAGGGACCTACAACATAACAAAGAATCTTAAATTAATTCATGATATAATCAATATATATATATAATGATATAATAAAAAGATAAAATTTAATCTGTTTATATTGGTTTACCTACCAAGCCTAAAGAATTATAGCACACTTTCTTTGAATTAGAGCTTGTAATTCCTTTGCATGGGTTTTAAAAACTACCATAGAATCTACTCATATCTTTTGAATTAGAGCTTGTAATTCCTTTGCTCTACTCACTTTCTTCATTTAGAGATAGTGTTACAGTTCCTAAAAATAAGTTAGTTGAAGTCCCAATTTCAATAGTGAAAGCTTCATTAAATTGGGTCATGTCATGGTTTTCAAAACCGGATCGGACTAGATAGTCGGACCGGAAAAACCGAGAATCGGTCCGTTTTTCCCCAAAATTGGATTTTCTCCAAAAACCATTGATTATGGTCAGCAAACCGCTGACCCAGGCGGTTAGCCATTTGAACCGTTCAGACGGTTTTGACCATTTTTATTTTTTTTTAATTTTTTTATTTTTTTTGTCAGAATGGTCGGACCTTCGACCCGATAACTGGACCCCTGACTGGTTCGATCTTCGGGTCGGTTTTAAAAACCATGGGTCATGTTATATATTGTTGGAAAGATCTTTGATTCCGCTTTCTAACGCAATAAATGATTCATCAATCAGAATTTTCTACGGAAAGTTATAAGCGACACGAATTCGGTTGATAGAGCTGACTGCATATTCGAACCTTTCAAAGAAGTGAGGTACCATGCCAAGAGGTCGGCCTAAGGATCAACACAAGGCTCCAATAGAGAATGCATACTTATGGGAAGAAATCAATGAATTAAAGTAATCTTACAATATCATACAAGGCATGATGAAAGAGGTGTTACGTAGACTCCCCGAGCAAGCCTCTACAAGCAATCCTACCGGTACAACTGTATTTATGGAGCAAACATTTGAAGAACCGAACACATCTAACAAAGTGGATCATTCTGACACATCAAGTTCTACGAGAGAAGCATCACCAAGATCAACACCTTTGCGACAAAAGCATTCATGTTGATGTTTCTGACTTTGACGGTAAGCTCGATCCTGAATTTTATTATGATTGGATTGCATCCTTAGAAACTTTCGTTGAGTGGAAAGAATTATCAAAAGAGAGAAATGTCAAATTTGTTGTTACAAAAGTCAAAGGTCATGTCTTAGTTTGGAGGCAACAATACCAACTAAGTCATGAAAGTTAGAGAAAATACAAAGACACAGTAGAGAGAATTCAAGATGAAAGGGTAAAACAGTTTGATGAATAATTTGATCGAACCTTGGACTATTTATAGATGTGTAGATAACGATTGAGTACAATACAACTATTAGAGTTTAAGTTTGTGTACAACACTCAAGGTTAAGAAATTAGTTTAAGTTGCAACAAAACTCCATCAGATATAATCTATTAGGATAAGGACAAGGAAGCGATTAGACCTTAAGTACAAAGTTCATCGCATGTAAGAATCATGCAATGAAATTTATTATGAAGTTCATCACAAGTCTCTAATACGCCCCCTTGTGAGATCCGGGAAATTCATGGCCAGCTCAAAAGAGTTGGAGTCACCACCAATTTTTTAGAGGTAATGGGCCATCACTTTCGAGTTAAAAAAAATGGTTTACCGGCCTTGATAGTGACTCCATTCTCTGCCAAGAAAAGGCACTGAACCAAAAGACTTTGGGTTCAAAGGATTGGGAGAGGGAAGGTGTTAGGCACGTGCTACTATAGCAGCCCACTACGAGAGTAATTTAGGCTCAAATTCCGACAGAAACCCGCACTAACAAGATTATCCAAAGCTCCTGAAATTTGGCGGAAATGTTCCCAAATTCACCTAGAATTGATTTGAGGTGATGTTATCATGTCTTAGGTACTAGTTTCCCTAAGACCCTTGCCTCTCTATCTTTTTTTCTCAATCCGAAGGAAGATGGGAATATAGATTTCCTAAGATTTCAGAGCTTTAAGCAACCCTAAACTAAACTAAAAGCAAAGAGATGATAGAATGAGAGGCATACTTCTCGTGTACGATCTTGAAACATGCTTTCAGTAGCCAAAAGGACTTCAAATGAAACTTGAACAAGGCATGAGCTAGGTTGGGCATTTCTGGTGTTAGGACTGGAAAACAGAGGATGAGGCTTGAACTTGGCTACAAGGATACCGAGATTTAAAACAAGCTAGGTGTGTTATGGGAGTTGGGAAATCTCTCCTCCCCTCTCCAAGCTTGAGCTGAGCCTCTATTTATAAAGAAAATGGAGGGAGATGGGTCTGAAACTCGTCTAGCTACAGTGTCTGTAGCTCAGCAGAGTTTTTTCATAAAAATGGGCAAGGATTTTGAGAGAAAGGGGGTTGCAATTGACCTTTCCTTTTTTGTGCAACAAATCTTCTCGGTTTTGGGTGGTTTCTCATGAGTTTCGTGCGTCCAATGAGGGATTGGGGCATGCCAGATGTTGCAGCCCCGTATTTGGGGCTGACAGTGGCAAAAACATAAATTTGAAGAACTTTTAAATGTTATTTTGTCTTTTCTTGATTTTAAGTAAGGACTTGTTTGGCATTTTGGGTTTTTTAAGCCTATTAGGCTCAAAATCACTGGTCCAGGTGTTTTAAAGGGGTTAAGTAAGGATCTGACGTTAGTCCCCACCCACTTAAGATCCTAAGTTGGATAGCTAATATGGTGGTTCAATCGGGTACGTAAAAAAGGTATCTCTCTTGTTTAAAGGTCAAACAGATGAATCTGGTAATGAAATTTGGGTGTGTTGGGTTTTTTGGGTCTCAGAACACAGTGGTGAGGTCTAATCGAACAAGCGGGGTTGGGAAGATTGAGATCTGTGGCTGAAAAGTTTGGATCAATAAGATTTGTTGAAATAGAATCTTTGTTTGATGAATGGTCAAATGGGGGAATTTTGGAATGAAATTTGGTGGGTAGGCATTTTCAAACATCCCAAATCTTATGGAAGTGGCGGATCTTTGATCAGAGGTGTGGATTGACTGATTTAGTTCAGATCATGGTCCTAGTTTATGGTTTTTCAATCAACGAGAGGACATGAAATGAAATCTTGCTTTTTCAACGGTCAAATGGAGGTGTTTAGAAGTGAAATCTGACATGCTAGGATTTTTTGGGTCACTGAACATGGTAGTGGGGTCTGATTGGTCAGATAGGGCTTGGATAATGGAGGCTTGTGACAAGTGAGCTTTTGATCACTAGTGCACTAGTTATTAAGTAGTATAATAATATCGTTCCCACGGGGATTTAACAAAATAAGTATTAGAATCACAATTTTTCCTAATTATTTGGACAATCAAAATTTAGGATTAAGCAAGAACTACTGAAAATAAAACTAGAACAAAGAAAATAAAAACAAGGGTGATCTCTAATTGAATATGCAAATGATAAAATCAGTAGGACTTTTGGTTCACCTAACCAATGTAATGAATATTGATGGGTCCGATTATCCAAGACTAATTGTCATTCCCATAAGCTGAGATTTTCCCAAATTTATTTAATATTCTCTCTCGAGATATACTAAACCTATGCCCATCAGGTAACCCTTCGATCTCTCGAGTAGA